GGTTCTTGGGGAGGCTCTGGTAGCGGATCAGGTTCTGGCTCGATTTCTGGTGGAAGCAGTGGTTCCTGGGGTGGTTCAGGATCAGGTTCAGTATCCGGAGGAGGTTCAGGAAGCGGTTCATGGGGTGGTTCAGGCAGCGGCTCAGGATCGGGCTCAATCTCTGGTGGAGGCGGTGGTTCCTGGGGTGGGTCAGGCAGTGGTTCAGGATCGGGTTCAATCTCAGGAGGAGGATCTGGAAACTGCCCTGGTTCATGCGGCGGAGGGAGTGGTTCAGGCCATCAAGTGGGCGGGAGTGGCGGCGGAGTAGCAGGGGCCGGCAGCGGTTCATACACCAACAAGCCAGGCGTCGGCGGTTCAGGGCACCAAGTGGGAGGCAGCGGCGGAGGTTTCGGAGGCGCCAAGGGGACCTCCTGGAGCACAGCCGGGGCTTTCGGGTCCAACGGCGCCGGAGGTATCGGGGTCAAGGTGGACGTCAGGAGCAGCTAGGATGACCTGACTTGGTTGTCGTAGAGAGAGAGAGAGAGAGAGAGAGAGAGAGAGAGAGAGAGAGAGAGAGAGAGAGAGAGAGAGAGAGAGAGAGAGAGAGAGAGAGACGGACATGTCATTCATTCAGATAATTTGTTACTGTTATCTTTTATTATTGAAAGTTATTTTTTTGCTATTTCTCTCTCTCTTTATGCATTACATACATACATACGCACATTACATCTCATCATTACTTATCTACATATATATAATATATATATATATATATAATATATATATATATATTATAATATATATATATATATGTATTTCTCTCTCTCTTTATACATACATACATACATACATACATACATACATATATATATATATATATATATATATATATATATATATATATATATATATATATATATATATATATATGGTTTCTTCAGTCTAGCCATTATGATTATTTTCTTTGACATAATCGGTATTAATGCTGTGTTTTTATGTTTATTGAAAATTTCATTTCTAAATGAATTTGATAATCCAATAAAAATTATATTTCTATGATGTGTTTTGTCGCAATTCACCATTCTGTAAATCGGTTATTTCAGTGAAGTGTAATAATACACATTACACCAAGATGAAATAATACAGTCAATATGACTCCACAAGAGGTCGCCATGGAGGGTAATAATCTCACTATTATACTTTGGTAAAAAAAATCATTTATTATTATTATCATCATATCATTATTATCATGATCATGATTTATTATTGTCAGTTATTGTTATTATTATTATTATCATTATTATCATCATTATTATTATAATTATCATTACCGTTTTTATTATCCTTAACATTATTATTACTATCATCATTACTTTCATGATTATTATTATGATAGTAATCATTATTATTGTGATGATTATTATCAGAATCACTACTATTATTTTTCAAAGGACATTTGGGGAATCGAAATACTCCGATGTGAGTTACCAGAGTTTCCTCTCCCGTAGGATGCAAAACCAACAAACTTAATAGAATGAACAGACACAAAAGTAATTAGTGTGATATCTCGAATAACGAACTTGATAACCAAAAAGCATGTCAGTTGTCTAATAGTCTCAGTAATTATGATGATAGTCATGATAAATACCGATGATAAAAGATAATTTCTGCCGTTACTGTAATAATGAAAACATCAATGAGTCAATGATAAACAACAACAGTAATAATGATAAATGATAAAGATGATAATGATATAAATGATGATAATAATAGTGATAATAATTATAATCATGATAATAATAATAGTGATAATAATTATAATCATGATAATAATAATAGTGATAATAATTATAATCATGATAATAATAACAGTGATACTGATCTTGACAATGATGATGATAATAATGATAATAATAATAGTAACAATGATAATAATAAGACAAGGGTTATAGAAATGGATCCGTTTCTACACGATTATTTTCTTTCTTGGAGGCACGGATCCGGTTCCCGATCCTATCCTATCCTAGCCTAACCTTACCTAAACTAACCTAACCTAACCTAAATTAACCTAACCAATTAAATTCATCTTCGGCAGTACTCGGCTGCGTTCGAGGAAGTGTTCCGGTTGCCGTCTCTGCAGAAAGATTTTGCAGATAGTAGTAGTAGTAATAATCATGATAAGAAGAATGATAATAACAGTGACAGTGACAATGACTGTCACTGTTACTATCATTCTTCTTAAGATTATTACTACTACTATAACAATAGTTGTAAGAATCATAATAACAAACAGTCAATACTGATAACATCAATAACAATAGATACATAAAACATATTTGTCGTAATCCTCAAGCATATCAACGCAGAATTTAGATATGAAAATAGTTATACAGCTAGATAAGAAAATATAAATAAAACAATCATAAGTATTTAGTTAACACCACGTCCAGCTCCTTAATAATAGTTCATCAGGATTCGTAACTTACCTTTTCTCAAAATGCTGGCGCGTGATCGCTTTCGG